ATGTTCATCACGTGTCATTACGAACCCCCATAATGTAAGGAGATAGAAGGAGGTAGTTGTCGGAATTCTAACTTCGATTTCGGATAGAGTCTGCTGTTGGGATGATTATACTTCCCGATCAGATCCACTCTGTAATTCTGTGACTGAATCTTCCCCTGTGAGTCTTTCTTTGCTTCAATCCATTGTAATTTCAAAAGATATGGAATTTCTGCGTTGATGCGTAGTAAATAGTAATGATCTTCCTCATTAATGGGTACTGGTTTTTATTGCATCTTTTGTATGAAACTCTGAATTCTGCTGAAACCCCTGATGGGGTGATGGGGTGATGCTTGTTGCAGATAATTTCGCTCTTTTCTTTGGCATTTTTAGTTTATGATGTCAAGTTCTGAGTTTTATAATCTATTACTACTTTTGTTGCATTTCTAGGATTATGGTAGAAATCAAAGAGAACATTTAATGTGCTTTTTCCCCCTTATCCGGGTTGTATTAATTACATGATTTCTTGCTTAGAATTAAGTTAGTAGATTGATGTTTCAGATTGGAATTAGATGAGGAAATGAGGGAGTTTCAAATTCAAGAGTTCAAGTTTTGTTAAAATGTTTGTCTGATTTCCGAATGACTGGGAACCTAGCTCTTGCTGGAATCAGCATACCTTAACAAAAACAAAGACACAAATAGCAGTTAAGTCTAGGTCCCATATAATCGTCATTACAAAGACACAATCTGCTTTATCCTCAAGTAAAATTGATGTGCTTATTATTATCCTAGTAATTGCCGATCACAAAAAAAAAAAATTTTATCCTGGTAATTGGGGTTACTAAAACTATATTAAACTCGAATCTATAATTTGTATGTTGTCTTATGATAGACTATCCCGTTTTCCTGTATATATGCGGCTTTAACTTTGTATACAAAATAATCATGAATCTTAGATTTAGTCCATGTTTTCTCTTAAAGTTCTAGGTGCAATGCTAATAATCATGAATCTTAGATTTAGTCCATCTCTTCTCTTAAAGTTCTGGGTGCAATGCTAATAATCATGAATCTTAGATTTAGTCCATGCTTTTTTGTCAGAATTTATGATATCGGTTGCTTGCACTATCTTTCATATTTCTTATCTAAAGCTATGAGAAAATGAGATATCCTTTTGACTGTCCAATGGACTAATACATCTGAAAAAATAAAAATAGAAAAACCTCAGGTTCAATGTCTGGGATGGAAGGGATCAAAAAAAAGATTGAGTTTGCCATGAGTAAAGACAGCAGGATAACCTTAGGCCAAAAAAGGGAAAGTGGAATTACCAAGGTTCTTGATCCAGCATTTTCTTCATTTTTTGTCAAGCTTCCTCGCAAGCTTCAAAATTGTCTTAAGGTTAGTCATGGTTTCTTGTATGGTGATCATTCACTTAATTTGAAGGCCATGATTATGCATGTTGTATTTAAATTAGGTTTTGAGAGGTAAAAAGAATATTCTATTTCTTGTCACAGACACAGCTCAACAGATTAGCAGAAGATAATGAAAGGATAATCTCATCAATTTCTATTCTGGGAAAGGATAGAGGTTCATCTACTGCATTTGGGATTGATCTGGAGAAGCAGTTGCAAGCTTGGAGGGAAAATCCTTCATGGGTTGATCAACCTCCGCAGATAGAGGTAATAATGAATTACTTGGAAATTTAACTTTATGCCTTAGAAATAGTGATGATATTGCTTGATCTTCTGTCTCAGCCATTTCATTCCTTCTGAATGAAGAATCTTTTGCAATCTCACCCAAAAAATATCTAAAGATGCTTAAGTTGCTCACTAAAGGAGTGCTGCAACAGAGTTAGAATTGAGAGAAAGCTTGGGCCTAAAACCTTAGAAATCTATTCATTGTATTTGCTAGAATCTTCTAAAAGTTCATGATGGCTTCTTTGGATTTTCATCCGAGGATTCATCATGTCACATTACCATCCTGAATCTAATGTTATTCTTGGCAGGTCAGTGTACCAAAAGGTTCTTTCTGCAACCTCAATGTGAAACTTGATATTGGGTTGCCTCCTGATGCAGTATATGATATTGTAACTGATCCTGAAAACAAGAGAGTTTTCAAGAATATTAAGGTGAGTGAATAGCTTTCACTCACGGTAAGCTTTCTGGATATAAGAAATTATATCATTATACAAGTCTTATGCAATTGTCATCAAAGTTCTGAACTTTTGATGTTGTTGCAGTTTTATCAAATTGTAACCTTTGAGTTAAATCATCTTTTCCAGGAAGTCATATCTAGAAAAGTTTTACTTGATGAGGGTCAGCGGCAGGTGGTTGAAGTTGAGCAAGCAGCTGCATGGAGATTTCTTTGGTGGTCAGGAGTCATCTCAGTTCATGTTTTAGTTGATCAGAACAGAGAAGATCACTCAGTAAGGACCCCATTCTTTTCTAAGTTGGTTTCTTTATGAATGTTTGTTTCCTTCACATATAATAATGCTTAATTCCTTAATAAGAAGGACAACAATTCGATTTTTATTTATTTGCAAACAGTTGTGCATGGGAATAAACTACTCATTTCTCTCATTTCTATTGATGACAATTTGACAGATGAGATTCAAACAAGTGAAAACCGGGTTCATGAAAAGATTTGAAGGCTGTTGGAGATTAGAACCTATTTTCGTTGATGAAAAAATGTGCTTTCCTTTCAAACCAAAATCATGGGCTGAGTATTCCTCCTGCACAGGAGGCAAAGGAAGGGTTGGATCAAAGGTGAACTTGGAACAACTGATCCAACCTGCCCTTATCCCTCCCCCACCCATTTCCTGGTATCTAAGAGGAATTACAGCAAAGACCACAGAGATGATGTTATCTGATCTTATGGCTGAAGCTGCCAGAATGAGGGGAGGTTTCAACACCCTAAACTCAAAGAAAGATCTTACACTATCTACAGGAATAAATGAAGAACACCAAGTTGATCAGATACGTGACATTAAACAAAGATGGAGCTTGCATAGGCGAAGTGCGAATCGACATCCTCGGACGCTGTTCGCTGCTGAATCTCGAATGCAGAAGTGATTAGTTCAAAATTCTTGTCATTGTATTTTATATTAAATTTATATAGCAATATTATTAGGAGCAATTTCAATAAGAACTTGGTAAAATTCTTCTTTTACCTCAAAATGTTTGCATTGCTTCTGTTCTGTAATTCATTTCTGGATAAATGCCATAAATTGAGGCGGTTTGTTGCAATTATAATGAAAATTCAGAAAAGTGAACCTAACTATGATGGAGGAATGAGGGATCTCTCTGTCAATGGTTAACTCGTGAAAATTTATCATAAGTAAATTAAAAAGGGTTTTTTCTATATTGTGTGCTTAGTAACATGATAAAAGTATAGGATAAGAGTGTATTTATTGTATCTTTTTGTTATAAATATATATAAAAAAATATAAAATTTGATATTAATTTTAATGTTAGGTAAATTTAATTAGATAATTGATAAAATAAAAGTTAATTTTTATTTTTTAACATAAATTTTATAACAAAAAAAAATATATTTAATACATTTAGGGCACAAGTTAAACAAAATGAATAAAAAACAATCTCATAAAGATGGGTAAAAAGAGTCTTGTCCTATCTCCTGGCACTGGTTATGGTCTTAACTCTTAACACTTTTTAGTGTGGTGATAACCACACCCCTAACTCCTATGTCTGTCATGGACAAGCCCTGACAAGAACGTGTCAGTTAAAGCTAATGTTATGCATGGCAAGTCAGCAACCAAAAGGTTTTCTTTGCAATGGTAATGTAAAAGTTAATGTCGGATTGCCCCCAGATGCAGTATTTAACATGGTGACCGACCCTGGTAACAGATTGTTCAATAGTATTAAGGTGAGTGGAATGTTCTCTCATAGTGAGCTATCCCGATGTGAGATTATCTACAATGACACAAATTTTCAGTTTCAGCAATTTAGTTCTGATGTTATAGCGCATTCTTGAAATTGTGACCTTGAAGGTAATTAATTGTCCAACAAGCAAGGTTTTATTTTCTAAAGGTCAAAGGTTGGTGCTTGAATATGAACAAAGCAGCTACACGGAGTGTCCTGTTCTGGTCAGGGGACCCTGTCATTTCATGTTAGAACTGATCTTAATATAGATGAAAAGAAGGTTATATCTTTTAATTTTTCTCTTTTGTTTAGTTGCTTGTAAACAAACTTGGGCATGGGGAAGTGTCAATATCTCATTTTCCCAGTGGTGAGGTTTTGACAGGAGAAGTTCAAACTAATCAAAAACCAGGTCCTGCCAAGATTTGAAGGCTGCTGGAAAGTGGCAATAGATCCTCTTTTTGTGGATGAAGAAACCTGCTTCCCTACTGAACCTAAAACGTTGGCGGACTATTATTCATGTACAAACGGTGAAGGAAGGATTGGATCAATGGTTGAACTGACCCGTCCGGCCGTCCCCCTCGCATTTCTAGCTGGAGGCTGTGGAGAAGTAGCTCCAACACCATGGAGATGGAGATGCTGAAAAAAGTCTGATTGCTGAAGCTGCCAGAATCAGGAGGGATTTCAACATTGTCAATTCTAAGAAGACCTTAGAATATCTGTGGGTATAAATGAAGAACAGCATGTTGATCAGATATATGATATTAAAGAAAGATGGAGAATGCGTAGGAGAAATGCAAAGCAACATTGTAGGAAGCTGTTGGCTGCTGAAACATCATAGCGTAATTAGTTCAATAATCATCTTTAACCCGCTGCATTTGTGCTTAATATCAAAATAACCCGGAAAGAATATTAAGGAGTGTTCTCATTTCAAACTTCCTAAAATTCTCTTCAATTACATAAACTGTTTGTATTGCTTGTGTAAGTTCTCAAAAGTCCCCTGTTATATGATTTAAAGTGTTTCAAACTGTAAAATAAGGATAATTAAATGATGAGATGGCCCCCAATATCAAGAGATACGTCTCTTATCCAACAATCACTTTTGTGCAAGTCAATATGCAGTTCTGTGTCCAAACTGCACAATAGTTTTTTTGCTGTGAACAAACCCCAAATAAACTGTCAAATCTTTTTCACTATTGAATCTATTGATAATTGACCCCTCATAGTTTCTTTTGGTAGAAACTATTTTATTAGTTAAACAAGCCACATACACATGGCGGGCACAACGGAGGCAGGCACAGACACTACACGATCATGTTTAATTGTCAGCCATCACTCTTTTTATTGTTTCTATATCCTTTCCATTCAAGGGTCCTATAAATACAACGTATCAACCATGTTACACATGTTTATGCAACTTTCTACCCTTCAGTTTCAGAGGAAGTAGGGTTTCCAAAAATTTGCCTTGATTAGTCTGTATGTAAGCCCAAGAAAGATGATGATGCTACAAATGATCGATGCTTGGTTACATAGACACTGCACTCAATACTGTCATTCAAATCCTGACTTAGGGGGCAATAGATCGATCTAATCGGCAGCATGGGATACACTTATTTGGAATTGTTGTGCTGCTTCATCTACTGTTAAGCCACAGCGACTCTCTTTTCGTAGCTCATGCATGAATGCGCCCAGTACTCCAAGGAACCCTTCATGCCTCAAGAACATTGCTTTAGCCTCACCTTTAGACCTGAAAATATGAGGGAAATCCAACATTCATTACATTTGAAAGCTATGATGTAAGGGGACAACTGAAGAAAAAGCAAAAAGGCATTAATCATCAACTGAAGACATATAGCATAATAGAAATGAAGTATATTCAACCATCAAGTATATGTTGAAGAATTTAAAATGAGGATGCCCTGAATAAAATTGATAATAACAGGCGAATGAATATCAAAGTAGACAATATCGTCCCGGTATGCGTATCGATTTTGCTACTGAAACGATACGTACCGGATATCGAAATTTTTTGTGTATCGTTTCGGATTTATCGCTATAAATATATATTTTTATAAATTAAATATCAAAATTTAAAATAATATAAGAGATACTAATATTTAAAATTATGATATTTTTATAAATTAAAAATAAGTTTAAAATGATCATTTTTAGTCTCTCAACTTTTAATATATGTTTATTTTTCGTCCATCCACTTTAAATTAAGGAACTAAAAATGTTTATATTTAGATAAATTTAATAAAATAATTGATAGAAAGACTAAAAAAAATGAAAAATGGATTAAAAAAGTACATAAAAAAGTTAAAGGATAAAAATTATATATAACATTAAAGTTGAGAATTAAAAATGAAATTTATCCTTTTAAATTTGAATTTAAATTGTACGGACAGCTTCTATGTATTGCAGTTGCAGGCTTTGAAAAAACCCTTAACCCAAAACGCATCGTTTTGGGCTAGGGGTTTTCTTTTTTTTTTTTCAATTTGTAGTGTTTATCGGTCGAAATTTCGATAAACCGGTTGGTACATCGAAATTTTGATTAGTATACCGAATTTTGATTGAAATAACCAAATTTTAACCGAAACAAAAATTAATATTATACCGTTTCGATTAACTGTAAAAACCACTGGTCGGTAGGGTACAATTTTAACTTCTTTGATGAATATACGTCAAAGTGCGCGTTGAAGAACTAATGACTGAGTTCTTTACCAGAAATGAACTGCAACAGCAATGGTGTCCATGGTATCGGCATGACTGCGAATAAAAAATCCACCAAAAAATATCCGCTTGAGCCCAAATCGAAGTGCATTCAAGTAGGAGATCTGGGCAAGAAACAAGAATAAGGCCAAGAACACACAGTGACTATCCGAATGACTACACAGTCTACAAGCCACTAACGTCTAGATCTCAATCTATTTTAGTTCTTATGACATGGTATATAAGATGCTAAACTAACATCAAGATAATAAAAATATAGTGCAATAAAATGTCATCACAAAATAGAAAATCAAAGCAGAAGTCAGTATCTACTGTCATACAGGAGCAAAATACACATTTCAAACTCATCTATTTCTCGCAAGATGGGTTGTCACAGTCACAAACACTACAATATTTAGGAAAAAGAATTGAAGCTCATCATACAATACTGAAGTTGGCTATCGCCTATAAGACGTCAATTTCAACTGGTTTGGATAAAAATGAAAAATATTTATGAACTCATTTTATCCATAGTGGAGAAAGAATTGCAACTAAAAAGAAAGAATTGACCGTGTTGGTCTAATCATAGTATGCTAAAACAAGAATGCAAAAGCAAGATGAGAAATTTCCACTCCATGTTGAGCCCAAAAATTAATATGTAAATTTATTTATCATCTAAATATATTTTTAACAAAAAATTAATATATAATGATATTATATATTAAATAATAAATTATTTATTTTAATTTATAATTTAAAGAAATAATTTTGAAGATGGATCTAACCTAACTTGATGGATCTAACCTAACTTATTTGAAATGGGGTTGGGGGTTGGCCCTCGAAAATGCATGATTGTTATTTGAATAAGATTTGACGAAGTTCTTTATATCTTTACTAGGAGACGGTTAACGCGGCCGCTGTAGAACTTTATTTCAAAGTATAATATTTTATGAACTGATTTCGAAATCTAATGATTAGCCACTGAGTTTTAGTATTTGGATAAAATTGATTAAAAAATTAAAATTTATCAATTACTTAAATATTTATATTTGATTTATGGGCCATTGGTGTTTCTTTAATTCATGGGTTGATCAATTTACCCATTCCCCCTATAATTGCCTGGTTAAAAGAAAAAAAAAAGAGTAATAGACTGTAGTTACTCTGTTTATGGAAAAAACAAAAAGAGAGAAAAAGAAAAGGAAAAAGAGAAAGTGTTTCTCATATATT